CGTCCGCAGACCCAGACCGACGGCAGGCGCGAAGGCGGCCAAGGCGAGCAGGAGACCCCACATGGCGGGATCCAAAGGTGCGGACGCGCGCGACTCGCGTTGGTCGGTGGGTTCGTCTCTTCCTGCCGGGTGCTCTGGAGCCCCCCGCCCCTTCCTGCCGCCGCCACACGCCCCCTGTGGCTCCGCCCGCCCACAGCCCTCTCGCTGGCCTCGGACCCTGGAGGGGAGGGGAGAAGAGGGGAGGGGAGGGTCCAGGCAGAGCGCGCGGGGCGGACCCCCGGGGCGGCCGCCCCGGGTCTCCGCGCCCACCGGCTCCGCCCCGCCCCCTCCGGCGTCCCGAGCTCCCCCGCCCCACTCTGGCGCTGTGGTCTGCAGTTCGCACAGCCCCTCGGCACCCCACCCTGATTTCACTAAACCCTGTGAGGTGCCCGGCCCACAATGGGCACCTACTCTGCACCGTGTACCACGCCGGGCGCTTTGCACATGGCCTCTCAATCAAACCTCATTTTACAAACAGGTAAACTGAGTCTCAGAACGCCCTACTGACTTGGCCAAGGTAGCAAAGCTGAGAACTTTAGGGAGGAAACTACCACCCGAGAGGGAAATCCATCCAGAGCTAGAGGCCCCCTCCCAGGGCGGATGGGTCCGAAAGAAGAGGGGAAACCGAGGCACGGGGTGGGGCGGCGAGCAAGGGGAGGACTAGCCCGCCCTCCAGGAATCCTTCTGAAAGACAACTCTAGGGGCCCAGCCAGGGACCGCGCTTCCCACCGCCAACCCCCTCCCCCGGCCCCGCCTCTCTTCTCTCCTCCTTCTCCTTCCCTCCCCTCCTCCTTTGCTCGCTGGCTGCCACGTTCCGGGGTTACATAACTCGAGGAGAGAAGCCGGAGCAGATACCCAGACGGCTGGGGACTGAGGTGGAGGGACCGCGGCCTGATGCTCGCCAGTTCCGCCCTCTCCGCTGCCTCCCCTATCCCTGCCTCATTTTCCTCTGGGGCCGGCAGCCTGGGTCTCTGCGGGCGGGGGCTGCTCTAGATCCGGGGATTCCAGAGCACAGAGCCTTTCCCATCCCGGTTCGCTAGCCCTCTTTAATTCCCCCACGCCAGATCGCCTCCCAGAAGGATGGCAATGGGTCCGCTCTGCGCCTCTGGCCGGTGCTTTGTCCTTGAGAGGAGCCCGCAAGGGAGATACTGCCATCCCCACCAAGGAAGCGATGGCCAGACGTGGCCAGGAAGTCCTGGAGCGTGTGCCGCCCTGAGCGATGATTTTTTGGGGGGGGTGAGCAGGGTCTCTATGTAAAGAATTTGAATCACCCCAAATCACCACACCGACGGCCCAATCTCAAGTGATCTCTTGAAAGAAATCCCACGCCGAACCCCTGGAACTAGGTCCCCAGGGGCGACCTCACAGACACCAGCTCTGGAGCCCCTCGAGGTATCTGGCCCAACCCACGCACTCTGGATAGAGAGCCCCTGAAAGGAGTAACCGGGAGAAGGCCCACGGGGTACCTCTTCTGCCCTGGAGCGCCCTACCTGGATAGCTAGGTCCCAGGCACCAGAGGGGGAATTAGAAAAAAACACCGAAGGAGTGCCAAAGCCAAGGGTTCGGGAAGCGCTGGGCTGGCCGGGTCAGGGGTAGAAAGACAATATTGTACACTGAGGTTTCCTTCTGGGGTGTGAGGTCAGGACAGGCTTCCATAGAGCTAGAAGTGAGTCTGAGCAGGTCCTGAGGGCTGCTCCCCTTCCTCAAAAGCCCACTCTAGCCACTACTCTGACTCTGGCCCCAACCTCACCCAAGTTTGCCAGGCAGGTGTGAGGGGGTAGAGGGGGGACCAGGCTAGGACATCTTAGCCTCCTGAGGCTCCCACCCACAGCAGCTAAATCAGGTCAGGTTCTTCCTCGCTTCAGTCCCTGGGGGCTCACCTGTGAGGCCCTTCATGACAGAGTTCTTCCCCACCCACACCTTTCCCACCTCATCACCCTGGGCTCTTCCCCCGGCTTGTACGACTCCAGCGCACTGGCATCTTAGCAGTACCTCCAATGATGAAGTGAGATAATACGCGTTTTCCTAGGTGGTCCTGAAGGTAACCGGATGAATTAAAAGCGGGAAAACAACTTCAGACAGTCCTCTTAGTCCCACATAAATGGATGGAATAAAACAATATCAAGAAAAGAAAGGAGGCTATGTGTTTGGCTACACAAAGAGAGTAGTAGTGGAATCTACTGCCTTCCTGGGCTTCCTAATCTTCTGTCCCTTGTGCTGGGGCAGAACGTACTCTGCCCTAGGTGTTCTCCCTGTGATGCAGGTGGGCATTAACGGGGACTCCCTCCTATGGCACCTTGGCTACATGCCCCATCCTCTGCTCACCACCTCCCACAGCTATCTCTCTTTTGTACATCAAGGTCTTCGAGAGCCCTGCCCCTCAAAGTGTGGCTGAGGACCGAGAGCACCAGCACCCCCTGGGCACATGTTAGAAATGCAGAAATCCCACCCCAGACCTACTGATTGAGAATCTGCATTTTAACAAGAGCTCCAGAGGATTCAACCCCAGGAGAATCAAGGGCACATTAAATAAAGGCTGAGCAGCACAATGAGGCTTAGAGCACCTCCATCTAAAATGCATGAGATCCATAACTTTCAAGTTTGATGGTGTTTGATGCTGTCACTGGAAATTGGATCTCAAGCTACAAGAGCACATACACATAACTTTTGGAAATTGGTATTTCATTCATCCTGGGAGGGTATATTCCTGATCTCTATAATATGATCCTATATTAATTTTCTTTTCTTTAAATCATTTAACCAAAATACAACAGAATACAGTTTTGTTTTTGTTTTTGTTTTTTAATTTGACACAGAGAGAGATCACAAGTAGGCAGAGAGGCAGGCAGAGAGAGAGGGGGAAGCAGGCTCCCTGCTGAGCTGAGAGCACAATGTGGGGCTCGATCCCAGGACCCTGAGATCATGACCTGAGCTGAAGGCAGAGGCTTAACCCCCTGAGCCACCCAGGCACCCCAACAGAATACAGTTTTAAAGGTAAATCCCATTTAAGCTTGCAATAGAAGACTCTTTTGTATGCTTCTCCATTCCCAGATCAGCTACTTTTAATTGTTATTTCTCCTTATATTTAAGTCTATACCTCTGTTGCCATTTCTTAATTTTTCTATGTCTAAATGTTATCTTTAGGTTTCCTGCTATGGAATTAAGGATTTTGCTTTCCTACCACCCTCCCCAACACGTATCCCCAAACACACCAACAAACTCCTTCCATCCTTCCAAAGAGCTAAGTCACTGGAGTCAATATTCAGTGCTTCTATTATGACCATGTAAATATTATTGTCCAACTTTTTGTGTTTCTGAAGTTAGCAGTTGCTTTGTTTTATCATTTGGTTTTCTAGGCATCAATTACTAATTTAATCCCAAAGCGACCAACAGAACTGAACATTTTGAACATCTCTAAAAACCAGAGATAATCTCATTTTCTTCTGGAGACATGCCTCCTGGAGCATCTGGCTTTTGATTCCAGCCCGGGTTGTTTGCTTTCTTCACTTGGAAGCACAGCTGACACCCTGAGCCTCTTTCATCATTGCTTTCCTGTGTTTAGCCTCATTTCTTGACTCCCATATTGTCCCCTTAGTTTAATGCCTTGTTACACGGAAACACATCCTCCAGTAGCTTTCTAGAAAAGAGTGTATGTGAGGTCAGATTTTTGAGAACGTGCATGGCTTAAAATGTCTTTATTCTATTCATACTTGAGAATCATTTGGCCATATCTATGTTTTTAGGTTGGAAATTATTTTCCCTCAGAATTCTGCGGGCATTGCTTTATTCCTCTGGGAGGAGCCAGAGCAAAAACAATCAATGAATGGTCCCAAGAGCCAGGGGCATTGGCTCTGTATCAATGTCAAGTTCACCAGGCTTGAGTCTTTGGACGGCGGCGGCTAGAGGCAGATATGCTGCCTGATTCCTGCATCTCCTCTCTGAAGGACTGTATGGCCACTATCCCCCTCCACCAGCCCCAACATTTTTCCCTCGAAATATGATATGTGGACAAGGATTCTGTTCTAAGTTATGATCCCCTTCACTCTAGCCTCGTAAGTCACGAATCTGAGATGGGCTGGAACCTCTGTAGCCACCAGCCATTTACCGATCATCATGGGGATAGGCTTCCTTTTCAGATGATCAGTCCCTTCCTAATATGTTCATTTGCCTTACTTTCATTCTCAGAGGGTAACTCTAACCTTCAGTTCGGGGGTTACTATGTTGCAGCCCTCTTACATTATCGGTGCCGTTTCTGGAATCCCAGTACCTGGAACACTTCCCACAGACCACAGGGCTTAGAAACAGCCCCCTTCTGCCCCACCCTGTAGCAATCCCATGGGAGCCCAGCCCCAGAAAGTCTCAAGATGCTTCCTGGAAGAGCCTGTCTCTGCATTTCAGGGCTTCAGTCCTGAAAATTCCCCCACAGGGGCCCACAGGCAGCCCCCAGCTCTCAGGGGAGAGAGAGCTGCCGACAGGAAGATTGAATGATTGTCCCTGGACACAGAGCTCTGGGAACCCACAGGAGAAAGAAAGCAGCCCTTCCCCTCTTGCTCAACTGCCCACTTAGAATGCCTTCCTGGTAACTCAGATCCTCGCTGGGGCATCCTGGGGCAGAGAATTTGCCAAGGCAAGAGGATGAGTCTTGGTTCTCAGAAATCACTGACTCCCTTCTGCCTAAGTCCTGCCTAAGCCACCAACTGCTTAGGAGGCCAAAACCAGCAGCATCCCCCTCCGTACCCCAGAGCCCCACATAGCAGTAGGTCACAATGCCCCAGCTGCCCAGTCCCAGAACAGCTGACTGAAGAGGGAGGTGAGGAGGGTGTGGTGGGGGTGTGTGTGGGGTGGGGGAGATTCCCACGGAACTGTCTGGTGTGTCTGCTAGGGCCTCGCCCCCTCCCACACACCCACCCACCCCCACTCTCTCCCAACACTAGTCCTTCCTGTCACCTCCACCTCCCTCCATGACCCAGCTCTGCTTACCCAGGCCCAAAGCCCTTGCTTATCCTATCCCAGTCCCTCCCAGAGGCCTGCGTACTGGGGAGGGGTCCCGTAGTCCAGCGGATCCATGTATGTCCCCCTGGGGCCTAGCACAGCCCAGCTCTGGGACAGCGTCTTAGGGTGGGGGGCACTGGGGCTGATGATTTGTGCAGTCTCTTCCCCAGCTGGCCCAGCCTTGCTGCTGCTGCTGCTCCTGGTCAGCTTCCTGGCCTTTGACCTGCTCCACTGGTGAGTGTGCAAGCAGCCTGGCAGGCAGACAGGAGTAGGCAGGCCAGCAAGAGGTCCACTTCCCGAAGCCCAACCACCACCCTCTCTCTCTGTAGGCCCACAGGCCCCCCCCCCAGCCATAGCCCACACTTCTCCCGGGAGGCCAGAGCCAGGGGGCCGGCGAGGGTCCAGGACAGCAGACGGCTGTACTCCCACCTCCGGGGGCAGTCACAGGACAACTCAGCCCTCAAGAGGCTCTGCTCCTGCTTCTCCCGGGCCTGGGGCTGCTCCTGGGAGTCCGTGGCATGCCCTGGGCCCTGCTTTGGCCTGGCTTTCTGCCTCCATCCTTGGGCCTGAGCGCCCTCCAGAAATACACTGGCCGTGCTGCTTCCCCAGATCACCTTTCCCTCTGTCCTGGGTTGAGCAGGCAGTAGGGTACCCCTTTATCTCCGGCCTGAACTGCAGGGGACTTTTGGTATCTTGGTCCAAGTCTGAGACAGAAATAGAAGGCGAGCTAAGGGACAGGGAGCCCGGGGCAGGCAGCGGCAGCCACCTCTGAGCTTGTGAGTTGGGGGTGGCCATTCTGGCCTCTTCTGTGGTTCCAGAGAGTGAGTGTCTGGAAAGACTTACAAGAGAACAGAGTGGGACTGGATATTAGTTAGCAGGGTGGGAACAGGGACCCAAAGAGGGCTTCCCACAAGAAAGCATGAGCATCTGCCTCTGTGGGCTCACCAGACCCCCCTGACAGCCTGGAGGGTCCATGGAGAGAGATTCAGGTGAGCCTCCCATCCTGCAGTGGCTCCTCTCTTGGCTGGACCCCACCCCCACCCGGGTCACAATGGGGATCCTCAGCGGGGGGGCAGGCCGGGAAGGGGGTGAGGGACACTGGGGGCTCTGCTTGGGCTCCTAGGCCATCCTGGGTGCTGCAGGAAGCAACATGACATAGGGGGCTCTGCCTAGAGGTAAGACCCAGGCCCCAGCTCAAAGCCCTGCCCATGCATGCTGGTACCCTCCCGACCCCTGCACCCCCATTTGTCTGGAGGTCCCAGGCACCTCCAGGGCTGCTGCTGCAGCTGGCCCGGCCCTCTCCCCAGGTGCACCAGCCATGACGCAGCAGCCGCAAGTGGAGACAGATGTCATCGGGGCCGGTGAGGGGCCACCTCAGGCCATGCCCTGGTCGGCCTGGGTCACGCGGCAGGACTGGGTGCGCTGGTGCCTGTGCTACGTGCCTCGGAGCTGGGTCCAGTGGTGGGCCACGTCGGGCTGGCGGCAGCCACTCCAGCGTGTGCTGTGGGGGCTGGAGGGCTTCCTCTACCTGCTGCTGGCCCTGATGCTCTGCCATGCGCTCTTCACCACCGGCTCCTACCTGCTGAGCTCCTTGTGGCCCGTCATGGCCGCAGTGTGGCGCCACCTGCTGCCCGCCATCGTCCTGCTGGTGCTCAGCGCCCTCCCCACCCTGCTCTTCTCCGCCTCCTTCCTGCTGCTTTTCTCCACGCTGCTGAGCCTCGTGGGCCTCCTCACCTCCATGTCTCACCCAGACTACACTCAGGACTTGGACCAATAGAAGGGCAACCCCATGCCGCTGCCTGTGTCTCTTGAGCCCTGGCCTAGGGCCTGAGGCCCCAGGGAGGGGGAGGGCAGTGGCTTCAGTAGCACCACCCCCCATCCCCCAGTCCCTAGCCCTGCTTGGGCCAGGTGTGATGTGGCTAGAGCTGGCCAAGGAGTCTGGCCTTACCTCTAGCCCTCCCTCCAGTCGATGTTACAGGTACTTGGTGTGGGGCATCAGGGGCTTTGAGAAGAGAGGCCGGGCGGAAGGGTGAGCAGGGCCAGAGCTTGGCTGAGCTATAGAGAGTCCCCGCAAGGGTGTGGTGACACCATGAGGGCTCCCTTAGCAACTGGCAGCGGCTTTTTCTTGAAGTGCTCAGATGTCTCAGGTGCAGATCATTGAGAACTTCTAGCTAGGTAGCCCTGGGCTGCCATTCTTTCCACTAACCCTACCTCTTTCCCCGAGCTCTAGAAAGGACCCACTGACAGAAACCTAGCTGAGAGAGGGCTGGCCAGGAGCCCCATGAGACCTCAACTAACTCACCTCCTGCTCCTTTCTGTCCAGACATCCCCCACTCCTTAGACTCCCTACCTTCTGCCTCAGTGAGCATCCCCAAGTCTGGGAAGTGGGCCAACTAGGGTAGTGAGCATCCCAGAGGAGACCTACTTTAAGATTCCTAAGGTCTGTGATGGAAAAATGAACAAGAAATCCCATTTCCCCACACAATATGTGGCCATGCCCAATTAATTCTTTTGGATTTAGTGGGTTCCAGCCCTGTCATGGGGTTGTGGTGAGTCAAAGGCAATACCATCTTTGTGTGAGGGACTTTGTAAAGACCAGAAAACTGTAAGACCTTATATTGAAGTCTGAGAATAATCTGTAGGCTCAAAGGGTCTTTTGACCCTGAAGGGGGGTTGAAAGGGGAAGAGGAAGCTTCCCTAGGCCTTCAGAGAAAAGCTTCAGAGAAATGCATACAGTTTTGGCCCTCCGATGGTAAACAGGGGTGGATGGGTGTGGATGAGATGTAAAAGGTCATGTGACATGAAATCTCGAAATGCGCACATGTTGAGCTCTCCTGATTGTGAAATGTTTGGGGCTGGGGCCTGGCGCCAGGAGGTTCCTGGACAGCTGTGTGAATGGAGAAAGCAGAGCTCAGGGGTTTCTGTAGCTGTCCTGACTGCTGCTCACTGCTCCAGAAAGGTCTGGAAGGGGGCATCCCTTCATGCCCAGCATCCTGGCCCTTCACACAGCAGCTAACCCTCCAAACAAAACCATGATCTGTTATTACCAAGCAAGGCACATGGGAGATAGTTTTACCCATGGCTCAGACCCACCTGCCGGACTCCTACCCAGTTCCTGACCCTCCCTGTCTTCTAGTCGTGACCCCACTGGATGTCTAACCCTAAAACTTCTGCTCCTGAAACCCTAGAACCAAAGTTCCCCTCTCCTGCTGCCTAAACATTCAGGCCATGGGAACCAGCCCCTAGAGCCTAAGTTTATTTTTGCTAAAACCCCTTTGCTGTGGGGTTTCATAACCATGCAGGCCACCGGTCAGAGGCCTTCAGCGTTGGTGCCCCAAACCCCAGACACAGCCCTTCCTTACTGTTTCCTTGTGGTTCCGCCTCAAATGTGGCCTGGTAGGAAGGGCAAGGCAGGAGGACATGGAGGTGCTGAAACCTCCTGGTTCGCATGAGCCTTGGGGTATTAGCTGAGGGTGGGTTTGAATCCCAGCACTGTTACTTTCTAGCTCCATGGCCTGGCTCATCAGAGTGGTCCCACCAGGACCAGAAGTATAGGTATCACCTGGGAGCTGCTAGACATGCAGAGTCTCAGGCCCCACCCCAGGCCTGTGGAATGAGAGCCTGAATTTTAACAAGATCCCAGGTGCTACACATGCACACAGATGTCTGAGAAGCACAGCATCAGGGGCTGTGTTTGAGAGGGATGGTTGTACAATCGGTGGTGGCAGGAGATGGGAAAGGTAAAATAAGGTGGACGAGCACAGTGCGGGGAGAGGAAGCTATACCTATTGATCTGGAAATCATAGCACTGAGTGAAAAACTCACTGAATGAGAAATAATACAATCCCTTTTACACAAATTTAGAATGTATGCCAGCAAACCACCCCCCTCCCCGACACGTGAAAACAAAAGATAGAATGGAATGACCAATTCTAGAGGCAGGCAAGGGGAGTAGAGTATACAGATAAAAGGGAAGTGAGGGACCTTGGTATCAGGAACATAATTCCTGAAATTCCTTTAAATGTAGATAATGTGACTTGCTTAGAGTTAAAAGGCTTAAAAATGCAAGCCTGGGGCAAATGGACAGGTTGGAATGAAGTTCTAAGCCTTTTCCTATTTGGGCCAAGAAAGGAGATCTGCTCCGTTGGCCTGAGTGACCTGGACAGCAGGGTCGGTGTCTTTGTTGATGCCCCTCCCGCACCACAGCCCACAGCCCGCTCCCAGTCACCCACGTGGCCTGGCCAGAAGAATAATCAGATCAGGCAGGGGAGAAGGGACAGGAGCAGAGGGGGCGTCAGCCTCGAGGGCCGTCGCATCTAAGAAAGCAGAGAAAGAGATATGCTGGGGGGGCACCTAGGAGCAGGAGCGTCGGGTAGGACTCTCCTCAGCCCCATGTACAGAAAGCACCGAGAAGGAGCGGTCAGGACGGCGGGTCTGGGGGGGGGGGGGCAAGGGGGCTCAGGAGAGCACCACTGAGACAGTTGTCAGTGGCTACCCTGGGGAAGGTTGAGGGGTCCCTGGAAGGAGGGGTGTGCGGCGCCGGGGGATCCTCCAAGGGCCAGCTGCGGGAAGCCGAGAGGGGAGGTCACTCCGGGAGGAGGCAGGTGTTGGGCACTGCGCGATGCGCTCAGGTGCGCGGGAGAGGGGCCGGGGCGACGACTGGAGGGCGTCCAACCGGGCGCGTTGCCCGTGCGGGCAGAGCGAGGTGGTCAAGGGCCTGAGGCTGAGAAGGAAATGCTAAGCCAAGCTGGGGATCGGAGGCCTGTGGGTACCCACAAAAAGGAAGGAGCTAGGCATCCTCGGAATCGGCACCTCGCGGAATCGCAACTGCTAGGAGCGCCCCCTAGCGGAGATCTCCCTCTCCGCAATGAAGGCAATGAAAGGTCGGGTTTGTTTGGGGTGTTGGGGAGGAAGGGAAGGGAGAGGTCTCTCACAGGCCGGGACACTAGCCCTGGGGGCGAGGATAGATCCTGGCGCCAGAGAGGGGCATCTTCGGGCTCACTGCCGTCACGGTAGGGGCTTCGGTGACTCCTGACCCCCTTCCCCAAATCTCCAGCCTGGGCCCCCCAGCTGGAAACCCAGAAGCATCAAGGGCCGAGCTCATGAGAATCCTGGAGAAGGAAGGGTCCAATATAGCCCACTTCACTGTCTCAAGGGACTTCTGGCTCACCCCTAGTCTATGATCCCATTCCTCCTGGGGGTAACAGCTGTCTTTTGTGAGGTCTTGTCGGAGTTTGGATGCAACAAATTTTAAACACCCCCCCCCCCCCCCCCCCGCTGAGCAATCATCTATATTCTGGGTCTTTCTTCCTTCATACTGCCCCCTTGCCTTTCAAATATTTTCCATCTTAAAAATAAAAGAACTTGATTTAAGATCTTGCTGCTTCTACCATATTCTCTGGTCTGTATCTTTAAACCTCTCACAAAAGCCCCACAACATTTACAATTGATATGTGATACTGCATACTTGCAAAATACTTGTAACATATATGAAAGTCATAAAGTCCTCTAAACTGAAGGATACCACATCCATCTAAAAGCCAGATGTTATCAGTATGTTATCAGGCCTC